AATTAACACAGCATAGATAGTAAATTCAACTATTTCATTTCTCTCAATGTAATAAGACATTTGCATGGAAATACATACATGACATTTCATTAGTGTTGTCTTCTACTACCGTAGCCTTATGATTCTAAATATATTCGTTAAGAAAAAACTTATTACATACAAATATATGTAACTATAAATATTACCGAGAGTTAATGAACATAAAGCAAATTAACAAGAAAAGATTTAGTTCTTGGCCAGTAATTTATTTTTATTCAGCACGTCATAAATAGTGTCGAAAAATCATTTACAAAGCACTTGAAGTTACTATTCCCCGTCGGTTTTCACTTTTCTAGTTGAGTTTGTGTGAAAATTTTCGTTCCCTTTCCTTTAAAATTGCTATAAGGAGCGGTTCCCAAATGGTGTTTCGCAGAACGCTGGTGTTCCGTGGAAGGGTCACAGGGGTTTCGCGAGATACGGTGTCTTTTGTTTTAATAACCATAATCAAAATTCTGGGATAAGTAACCCTAATGGTTCATTTTATGATAGGGACGAGTATATAGCTATTTTTGAGAAAGAAAGATTGTAACAGATGCACTGCAGTCAAGGCTTTTTAAAAAAGCATGGGAAGATATGGCAAGTCATCATAAATTACCCCTTCTACGCATGGAAAATGGGCATCTAATATCGAATTGTATTGCATGATGAAAAATGGATAATGAAAATGACTTATTTGATCGATAATTTCGATAAACTCAACGTAATCGGCAGGTTCTTAATGTGAATAACCACAACTAAGTTTATAGTGAGACACAGAATATCTTCTCTAACAAAAAACAACAAATTTGGCTTCTGAGAATTTGATCGATATTAAGAATTCGTCCTTTCTAAAACAAAAATTCGAATCGAATGATTCAAATTTGAATTACCTTTGGATTGAACCTACGATAAAGATAAATACTGTGCAGTAATTGCGAAGGATACCGCGGTTCCTGTTTTCGATTTGTATTGACGAGCTTTTCAGTTTACGTCTACAATAAAAACAAATTCAGAATTTGACTGGATACCGTTCCTTTTTTATCGAGATGGGGTTCCGCCAAAAAAGGGAGAGTCAGAAAGGGTTCCGTAGAAAAGAAAAATTGTTAACCGCTGGGTTAGAGTATCGTACGACCTTGACAAAGAATTCACCATGTCGGTGGTGCGTTTAAGGGTCGGTAGGAGAGGCAACTTGCACGCGGTTAACATAGGTAGACGGAGGATCCTTGCGCTTGCTTTTCCACGTGGTAAACACGTGTTTGACCGTGTAATGCTTAATGAGCAGTGATTGCGGCTTCCCGCAATTAACCATAATGTGTAAACTACTGGCCAAATTATGTACAGCCAGCATAAGGGGTGCGTGTGTACGTGTGTACGAGGGGCGCGGGGTGGTCCGAACGGAGTAGAAAGTGCGGCGTCACTGAATCACCACCGCCGACGGCACCACCACCACCGCCACTACCACCACCACCACCAGCACCACCACTACTACACCAGTGCACCGATTGATATTGTGTGATAATTATAATGAGCTGAATTTATAGATTGTGCTTAATTGATTGTGCTCATGTAGGTACCTACTGTTGCCACCGCGGAGTTATTAAGCTCCTCATTTCACGCTGTTCGTTCAAATCACAGTTCAGTACTTTATTAATAAATAACTGATTCGATGGTAGGTAGGTAGGTAATAAAAAAAAGCATACATAAAGAGCATGACCACCGAGTTGTTAACTTGTTTCTCCATTTGTTCGGAAGCGCCAGAAAAACTGATAAAAAGTAAAAGCGATTACCGGTATAATTGATAATAATCAATTAACGAGGCTGAAAAAGACACTGATTTAGGCATCAGCGTTTTATTTGATTTAACAGAAATTATTATTGATTTACGATCTGTATATACAATTTTGATTTTGATTGATTAGATTCTGTATGCTGGAAGGTTATTTTAAATGTAGAAGAAAATCAGCAACGAATCTTTTAAAAACTGTGCACTATTCATAGCAAATTCAGTCCATTATAACTTTAAATGCTTACTGGTGAGCTATTAAATACTAATGTAACCATTAATGATTTGTTATACTGATAAAGCATTCTAATTCAAACGAAAATTAGTAATACTAGATGCTACCAAATGAATTCGTAACATTCCGAAATTGAAGACAATAAAAGCATTAAAAAGATTTTATATTCCATTGAAAACATTAACGAAAAGGGTAGTTCTATTGCACGACATTGTTTGTTATTATTTTATGTTAGGAATCTAAAGTTGAGTGAAAATCGCCAAAGGGCTTCTCTAAGAGACGCTATTCAACCCCTGTAAGTGATGACCGCTGAAAATATAACCAGTTTAACAAGAAAGGGTAGAAACAACGAACATCGCTTTTAAGTTTTCAGTGCACAGTAATAGACGTACCACCTCTACCTACAGCAAGTATGCATCTCTGTATCACATAAAATTCAGTCTAATTAAATAACTAAACATTTTGTAAATGTTTAAAGTGATTTCAGAAAAATTGAGGTAAGACGATATTATTTATATTCATTATTATTATGCTCTATTTAATACTTGTATCTCATAATGCGACATCAGTCAATAAACAGTAAATACTAATTTGAAAAAATGATCGATGATATTTTGCAGCAGTAGGTAAAGTGTTTACCTTTAAAATAACGTGACCTAATAACGTAATTGACCTATTTGTACAATGAGAAGTAACGCAAAACATATCCTAAGTCCTATGTCCCTTGAGACTGTTGACGTGAAAATCCGACATAGATAAAGTTTTTCATGAAAACTTTAATACTCTATTTGCCCAGTTTAATTTAGCTGAGACCTTTCAAAAAGACAGTCGATGATATTTTTTGAGAAACTGCAAAATTTTTGATTTGAGTATTTATGGTCACGTTGTAGTTATAAACTGCTGTTTCACATTAAATTTTTCTATAAATTCCAAAATTGTACAGTTAATTTTATGCTGATTCAATAACTGACGGAGTACGCATACAAATTCATAAATATGAAGCTTCTTTAAAAATATTAATTAATTAATTACATAAGAAGCCACTTAAGTATTATTCAAACCAAAGCAAAACATTCAGCAGTTCTACTTTTACCTTCAAATTGTTGTCAAACAATCCATGCGTTCAACGAAACAATTACAAGTTGATACCATAAATTTCAATGTCTTCTTATTTTCTACGGTCACTAATTTTTTATACGTTTATAGTAGATACACTTAAAGACAGTCTAAGAGTTCACATTAAGTTTATCTCACAGAAAAGTTACCGTACGTATGTTCGATGGATAAGAATTTCCATGGACGAACATATGAATAAGAGCAGATTCATATGCAGTCGAAGAAAAAGATGCTGCTGGACTTGTTTGTTATGTCATGGTATGTTGACGCAGTCATGCCCGATTTGAAGATTAACCAAAATATTTTTGCGATCCTTCCAGGATGACGAAATGCTACCGTGTTGATGCTGACCCAAGTATTACATAGAGAATCCTTGAATCCCGATGCGTTTGATGTTTTCATCAAATTCACTAAAGTTCGAATGTTAAATCCAACCCGAATCCTAGAAATATTTAGGTGACTTCTTCTTTCTGGTTTGATCAAACTGTTAGTCCATTTTCACTAGTTCAACTGTCTGAGAAGAAGTTGCTTGGATGAGAAAGGAGACTGTCGAGCTTCGCTTGCCGAGGTTCAACAGGATTCAAAGTCCCGAATTTCTTCCAAATAGGTTTACTTCAGAAGAAAAAGGGAAGAAAGATTTCTAACATCACAATCGGTTGATGTGCTGAATGAACAGGCGACAAGTTTTATTACAAAGAGAGACACAGGAACGTCGATGTGCGCAGTTGAGGCGTCCTTACTGAACGAAGGGCGCCAAAGGAGTGAAGGCGTCTCGAGTTAAGAAGACATGGGGTGGTATTGTAAGGCGTCGCGGGAGAAAAGACGACGGCGCCGTTATACACGTCGCCCGCCGTCGACTGCCAGCACAAGACGCTTTGGAGGGAATCGGCGCGCCGGCGTTTCTCCCCTCTCCTACGACACGCCTCCGTCGGAAGAAGGGTGTAAGGAAAAATTTAAGAAAAGTCAAGATTTTTTCCAAGGAGCTGCGCCTCCCTCTCCCTTTCGCCGTCGCGCTCGTCGCTCGCATCGCGCACCATTCCGACGCTCGGCGTCTTTTTTTACATCATGCGTGACATGAAGATTGCGAGCTTCACAAACCGTCGAAATGGATGGTAAGCACACGTAACAAAACCAATCAGGAAAACAAAGTATTTCTTTCTTTTTTCGAAATTATTATTGCGGAAATAATGGGGCAAGTTAATCTAAAATCTACGAAACTAAACTTTTTTAAAAAAGCATGCTTTTCTTTTTCATCGCAATATAAAAAGTAGCGCAACTTATTTTTCAATGGTATCTTTTTTTGGACATTGCTATGAAAAGTAAAAGTTTTTGATTATGAAATTACAGTTAAACTAGCGCGGCAAGTGAAATAATAACTTCAAATATTAATTGTATCGAAGAATGATGCAAAATACTTGATAGTTATGAAATTTTGAGAAATCCTTAGTACTTTCCACTTGTTTTTTGTTTTCTCACATTGTTTAGTGTAGTTTCATGACCGAAACCGGCTATAAGTTTTAAGCTTTACTACTAAACACAATTCTTCTTCCTGTACTACAGTAAATTTATGCGAAATTTATAAGAAGACAGGCATTTCTTTGATGCGTTTCCGGTATCTTTCTTCATCATCTCTGTCCCTAGGACATACGTAACTTTCCAAATTCGGAACCTTCTTTCCCGTTTAGTGCGGCCTTTCTAGTAACTTTTTACCGCACTTTAACACTTTTTTTTATCAGTTTTAGTAATTCAGTGTCACTTTTATATTAGGTATTATTTTTTAGGGTGTTTGTCACTGGGGTAATTAGAACGAGTCATGCATCCTGATTAAGCGATAAAAATAATTCTTACCTTAGCTGCAAAGGCAGAGTTGTATAGGGCGCACACACTTATTAAAGGAACCAACACACTTAGGGGACATGGTAGAGAATGCGCTCCTTTAGGCACACTATCAGCCCTTATCGGGGAGTGGGGAGGACGCATGAGCAGCGTCGCGACGCTAAGGATGCCGATAACTGGCGCCCCAAAGCAACTGTGACCGAACCGTGAACTAACGGAGGGTCGTGCGCCGTCTGTCGTCAGAGGGAGAGAGAGAGAAAGAGAGAGACGTCCGATTGACACGGCGCGGCGTCTTCTTTCGACGTCCAGCGTCGGTCGACGCGGACAACTGTCCGTTCAGTTTATAACACAGTTCAACGACGCTGTTACGTCGATAAACTGCTGCCAGCTCGAAATTGCGAGCGCATAAAAAAGGGAAAGAAATAAAAAAAATTAAAAAAAAGGGAACAGTACGGACCCTGACCACCTGTAAACAACTCGTCAATGAATTTATAACTTGGTACCGTTCGCATGCAATATCCGAACATTTAAAAATTAGACCAATCGGTTCATTAATTTACACCATTGTGTTGTAATTTAGATAAACGTGATGATGTTACAATACAGGCGGACAATAAAAACAATTAAAGGACTAATTTAATTAGTTGAACATGGCAAACTCTTTGCTTTTTAAAACCACTTTTCGGTTTTACTTACAGCTACTTCATAAAGAGATCGTTACAATTAAGCTGCTGTCTTGAAATTAAAATGGTTTTTGTTTAGTGTATTCCGTTTTATATATTTTTTGAAAATTTAGCACAGTAAATTAGATACCCTATAAGGATCAAGTCATAAATTGCTGTAATAACTAAAATATTTATCATGATGATAATTCATTCTCAAATTACATTCTAATGTAGACACTAGAAAAGCTTCCTATGTCTCATTATTCGGGGAATGGGGAGAACCCACAATGTTCTTATTCTTTCTTATAAAGAAGGAGGAATTCTTAACCAAAGCACTGAACTGATATGGGTGAATAAGGTTTTTTTTTGTTTACTGTAAAACCTTAACGTTTCGCCCCAGAAGACGGTCTATTCAAACCTACAAATGTGATATAAAAATTAGAAAGAGGAGACTGTGGTAAATATTAGTTAAAAATTAACATAAAATTATTTGTGGTAATTAAGGGTGAGTATTCCTTTTAATTTTTAATACAAATGTGATATTTAGCAACATGATCGTACTTAGTCACTTACTACTATAAGTTATGAAGAAGACAGTTCCAAATAATTCAGTGTGTACAATAATTTTCAAAGAGAATGTGTTAAGTACGGAGTTACATATATACTGTACTATTATCGTATATTATTTCTTTGTTGGAATAATTTGTAGATATTGTGGTAATAGTTAGCAATTAAATTATTTTCAAAATCAGACCGAGAATTCAGTCTTTTTTTTTCACGAATTAGGTTGGAAGAAGTGACGTCTGAAGTAATTGCCCTCTGTGTACAATACATCCACACATACCAAAATAAGGGGCATACAGTTACAATATTTTTTGCTTCTAAATAGGCAATTACAATACCTACTGGCTTCTCTGCGAAGAACAAATAATTTTTTTTATGTTTTGGAAAATTGAGGCATATATCGAAACGTTTTGTCTCATTAAAATATTTTGTTTCTTTAATCCAGTTAAAAATTAGACCAATCGGTTCATTAATTTACACCATTGTGTTGTTATTTAGATAAACGTGGAGGTACGTGTCCAACCAGTCTAAGGACTGATGACCTTATGATGATGATGATAAATCCAGTTAAATTAAAATTACTTTTGCAACAAAAAAAATGTTTTATAAATGTCTTTCTAAATTAAGAGAAACAACACTTGGTTCAAAGTCGTAATAAAAGTAATAAAAACTAATCAGTAGACAGAAGGCATCTGGCAAGGCTGACCGAAGCTTCTAATTAGATTTAAGTTCCGGCATTACAAGAATTTTCACTCCACGTTATTCGATGGTATGTCCTTCAACACAAGCAGGACATACGTACTTAGTAAGATTAGAAACTGAGTAAGAGTTTTGTCTTTGTGGTAATTTATATAGCAAAAATCGAACTTGATTAAGAATTTATAAATAAAACACTAAAATCTCATTTCAAGTCTCATAGTGACGGTGGCACTTTGTATTCTTGTATGTCAAAACGTATCTGTTTTTTCGAAGGTCAATGGGCCTCGCTAGATCCACAATGGACCCTAACTCGTAAAACCTCGTCTTTTTGAGGTATGATCCCTTAATGTTGCATTCTTCGGCCTATAGGTATTGAATACGTCCAAGTGTGTTGAACGTTTCTTTTATTTTTAGGAAACCAAAAGATTATTGCATTAAGTAAAATCTGTTTTCGACTGTAGAATAGGTTTTAGAAGACCTTTTCTCAAGAATTAAAAAACGTCTGATGCTTGGAAAGCAAATCACCAGAAACTGCTCTTTATCTTTGTTACGAATTGATAATACTAGTATTCGTTTTACATAAATTGAAGTTGAAGATTTCCCAAAAATTAAAAGCTGGAACCAGAACAATTATTTTAATGGGTTTGAAGAATGTAAACTTCTTATGTGAGGTGTGTAATTCGGCGGGCTTTTAAACTAGAAAGTTATTGGATATTTGAGTCGTAAAAATAAAATTCCGTCTGATTTTATCTTTCCATGCCAAAATTATAAAAGGTGAAAGCCCAGAAGAGAATTCTTGATGGAATGCTTACATTTGTACTGCATTTATTTAGATTAAATTTGGTATACCGACGTGGGCTGATGGCTCAAAATGATGTTAATTTTTGGAAGAGTAGGTTTTTTGTGCCCCCTTTTTCTTCCCTTACTCCATTAAAGTACTTACCGTTAAATGCAACAAGATGTAGTTCCTTCTGATTTTTAACATGTCATTTACGAGGTATTTGTCTTAAAAGTAGTTGGAAAAATTCCCTCCTTCCTCTAATTTCTAACTTATTCATCATCATTATCGTCATAAGATCATTAAACTGACTCCACTCTTTCCTATCCTGAACTAATCTTCACATTTCCCTAACACTAGAAAATCCCATATCCTTAACTATTTGTGAATAGTAATCTCATCTGCTTCTACCTGCTCTCCTATTAACTCCTGTTTCTGCTTCTAATATGTCTTTTAATACCTGAGAAGGCGTCCTAGCAACCTGTCTTATCTATTTCTTATTGACTTCCATGACGCTCTCTGTTCTCCTATTTTTTCCAATACCTCTTCACTTCTAACCTTCTCTATCCACGGTGTCCTCATCATTTGCCTGTAACACCACATTTCGGCCGTTTCTAACCTTTTCCCTTTTGCAGCTCTCACCGTCTACGTTTCGTAACCGTCCGCGATCATAGATTTTTTTCCTAAAGGCGACTCGGCCCTATACACTATATCAATTTTCGAAGAATTAAATGAAAATTGGTAAGAGGTTATGGAACTCCACCGCGTGCGCGCCTAATTTATTTAAAATCTTTGAATCCTATTACATCTGATGACTTCATCATCAGAGTCACTGATTTCGAATCCAGTCCGACTCACAGAAGTATTAAGGTAAGTTATCCTTTATATGCTTCGATAAAACTGTTAGTCCATCCCCATTCCGAGTTCCAATTGCTTGATAAGAATTTAGTTGGATAGATGCTTCTAGGTCTTCGCTCGTCAGGTTGAAATAGGATTCAATTCTCGATTTATTTTACGTCTCAAAACGTTTTAATGACCGATGGTGATGAAAACTGATGACCAATACGAAATTAATGCATGATCTAACGACTCCACTTGTTTTAAAATGTTTGAAGGCGATCTATATGCTCAAAAAGTAAAACTAAAACGTTTATCGTTTCTGTGCACGGACCAGCGAAAAGGACCAAGTAAATAAAGCGGTATCCTTGCATGTAGAGGTTTTGTCCTATTGATTTTTATCAGAATGCAATGGAACGGTGGCGCTGGTGTCGTAGCTGGATGTGGATGGATGGATGCAGTGGCCAGCGCCAAAGAACAACAGGTGTTCGTATGTGTGCATCGCGCGGTGCATCGAAAAAAAAAAAAGAAAAGCACGAAACGAACGAGTGCAGCGCCGGCGGAGGCGGCGGGCGACTTTTTTTCAATGGCAACGTCAATGACACTATTACAGCATTTCACGGTTTATTGTGGATTCATTGAACGGCCTGAAAAATGTGACTTTTTAATTATACACAAACACGGTTTGTTTTATTTATGATTCGATGTCGTCTTATAATTAGGTCACAAATGCATGTTTTACTTTCACTCCTGTTATTCCTATACCTATTAATAGGTATGTATATTTTATTTATGGATTCGCGTACATTTTAATTTGATTGTTTTTAAATCCGTTATAACTCCAAATGCGTATTGGCATCATCGGCGACCTATGCGATCGTATTATCATATCGTTGTCTGTACTCGATGGTTCTTAAAATGTTATTTAGGAAATTTTGGGGGATGTACAGGGTGTTCAATAATGAATGTGAAGGAATGTACTTAAATATGTAAAAAAATCTCCACACCATCACATAAATTATTTTGAATTCCAATTTTCAATGGTACAACTCTTGAGAACGATAGAGAACCAATATATAAAAAATGAAAAACGAGTGGGCAGTATCACCAATTTATTTGCCACACGAAAATTATTTCGATCTTATATCGAAAGTTTGATATGCAAATGAATATACAACTTTCTAGACGTTCTGGAAAGATTGTTAGAAATTAACGAAGCACTGTGCAGTTTCAAATGGTTGGAAATCCTCTATCTCCATAAACCAACCTAAGTCCATGAGACAAAGTACTTTTACCTAATGACTCCACTACCACGTCCTATCAATGGTCCTAAGACGAACGAATATTCGCATTTTTACATGCTCTATATGTCAAATGATTGATGATTTTCAATTAATAGTTTCGTTCTTCATTAGACATATTAGACATTTTGTCAACTAATTTTAGATTATCTTATTAACCGGTATCTTAGGTGCACTATTTTGCTTTACAAGCCTACCTGTACTAGTACCAGAGATACGAAGATTATTATGTGGTGAAGTGATGGTTGTGACATGTACCTACTTACAAATTGATCTGATTGGTAATTACTAATTAGTTTGGCTAATAATTTCGTGATCATTGTTCGGATGTGAAATACTTTTGCTGGAATTGTTAACATTTTGATAACGCTCATCTCTAGCCTCATTACAACAGTAATTTTTAAAGATTTCAAAACTCGATACTCAAAACATTTAACTGGAAACTAAAAATTCAACTAGTTTGACAGTCTCCATTACTATATAAGTACATATTACTTACCGCGCCAAAATAGTCATTTATTAGAAGTTAAATTGCACTTTTATAAAAGAAAAATGTATTGCACCACTAAAACCCTATAATAAATTGCACTTCGACGTTTACTTTCTGAAAGTCGCTATTAAACTCAAAAGGTTCCGGTCTTGGATTTTGCTTCGAGACGTTATGGGAAGTCATCCCCACTTTTTTAACGGAAAAACGACTTTAAATAAAAAACGGATGAGTGTGTGGATATAATTTATCAGAAGGGCTGTAAGGGTTCGTAAGAAAGTTCGTTAAGATGTTCTCCTTCGTTGGGCAAGATTCATATGTCGCGTGCCAGACCTTATGCCTGTTGAATCTATATGGTACGCTGCTTGTCACGCATTAGTGATCCTTGTAGGTATGTACATATGCATCTAGGAATTAATATCCGTTTGTACTTGATTCTATACCAAAATTTGGAATTTGGAATACAGAAACTACCTACAAATTAAAAAACTCCGTCGAAAAAAAGAGTACCTACCAGAGTTACTATAACGATTTCGACAATTTTTTAACAAAAAACTACACGTATATAACTTGTTTCCAATGAGTAACAATCAACAGTACAATTATATTTCAGTCAACAATCTTAAATCACAATTCTTAGATACGTGACATTCAAAATTACGAACAATATATGTTTTTGAGTTCCCTGTTCCTAGACTTTTCAAGCGACCTCCTACGGGATGTACAAAAAAAAACATAAATAGATACATTTGAAAATGTATTAATGTTCCATGTTCCTAGAATGTTCAAGCGACGTCTCACAGGATATACAAAAAATAAATAAGCAGGTACATTTTAAAACGTATTCGTCTATGTTTTTTTACGTATCTTGAGCTAATCTTAACTTTTTGCGAACAGTAATCTAATCTAGGTCTACCTCTACCCCTCCTAACTGTCATTTCTGCCTCTAATATGTCTCTGACTAGACCTTCATGCCTGAGAAGGTATCCTACCGACCTATCTCGCCTATTTCTTATTGACTTCCATAGAGTCCTCTGTTCTCCTATTCTTTCCAATACATCTTCATTTCTAACCTTTTCTACCCACGTTATCCTTATCATCCGCCTATAACACCCCATTTCGAAGGCTTCTAACCTTTTCTTTTCCGCCGCGCCCACTGTCCATGTTCCTCACCCGTACAACGCCACGTTCCAAACATACACCTTTAACAATCTTTTTCGAATTTCTAAATTAACCGTTCGCAAGCATAGAACGCGACTTGACCCTGCGCTATCCTCTGCTTTATATCCCTACCACTCCTTCTACTCCTTCCTAATTGTTATTTTCGTGCATTTCCTTTCCTTATAAATCCAAGAATTGCAATTTACGAGATGACCAAGTATCCTTTTAATTTAATTTGGGAAAAGTGTTAATTAAAAAACGCGGTATTATAATTTTTCAAGTTCCTTGGGATTTCCGCTTCTTGTAATTGCCTCATTGTCCTACGGTTTCATTAGCTGATTAGACAGTATATGTTCCTGGGGTAACGACGACTAATGAACTAATAAAGTCACTCTTAAGCGGGTCCTTTGTTCTTCGCTCGTTCGATATCCTTAACCGAGCATGATATGCAGAAAGATAAGCAAGGTGGTTTAAGTAAATTACGAAGGAGGTGCGGCTCCCGTGAGATGACGGGGGAGCGGCCGTCTTGCTATCCAGCGAAGTCGACGCCGGCGACGAACGCGGTCGCCGTTGTTCTTACGGGGTGTGGAACCCCTTAGCGTGCAGCAGCGAAGGCTAAGCAGTGCAAAAAGTACAAACATGACGCTCTTCTGACGTATTAGGTACTTAGTTCTGCTTTCATTTTATTTAATCTGATTAATATGTGTAATAACATCGTAGTGCTTCTGTATACGGGTTTCGTCTGCATTTGATTTCAGAAGAATTGAGACATTGAGTGGTTATGGATCTAAAACACGATCCACAAGGAGTACAACTCTGCAATGATATAATTTGTCTTGGCAGATTCGAGACCGATACCAAAACCGAGACTTCTCTTGTTCTTCAATAGCAATATTAAAATCCCCTAAAAATTTCAATGAATAAGCAATACCAACCAGAATTATTCCAATCGGTTTCGCACATATACCTGCATGTAATCTCACTGAGTCTTTCTCAGGGTTGTTCACTATTTAAATTCGTACTCTTTTCATAAGATTGGGGTTTCCACCTGTGAAAGGATAATGCCTAGTTCCCTCCCATATAGCTGTTTTTAGTTAGGGTTAAATTTTTCGGTATGTCGAATTCCCTCCTAATTATACATCAATTGCCTCCCAACGGCGGCGGATGACCTTGAGTGCTAATTGCTACTATTAAGTCATAAAGAGTTGTTTAAATAATACAGCTTCACATCACATATTAATCTTAATATTATTCATATATTATAAACACCACAATAATTTTCAATGTGAAATTTATGTTAAAATACGAAATGTTTCATCTAATTTTAAAAAATTGTTAACAAGACAAACTAGAACTAATAAAATTTTTCTAGATGATTGCATCGAAANCGAATTTTCAAACATTGAATTTGTTAAGGTAGTGGGAAACCATTTTAAAATTATATTCATAACTGATATGTGTTTTCTTTCTGAAATTATTTTATCTTTAATTTACTGAAGTACTGAAGTGCACTATAAATATATATTTATTTTCGATAAATAAAATCGGTAAGTAGTCGTTAACTTAATTATTGGAGCTGATATGAATGGGACGGAATTCGGCTAGTACCCGGGAGGGAATTCGACTATCTATATTTTAACCAAAACTACCTGCGGGAGGGAATTCGGCATCACCGTTCGATACTTTCTCATAATGGTCTTGAATTTCAACGAAACTTAACATTTTTATGCTTTGTTGCTCTTATACATTACACACATTGAATAGCAGAAGACACAGGTGTCCTATAATTAAGTAAAATAGACGAAAATAATGACAACAACCTTGCACGGTCGAAGAAAGATTCGTTAGCAATAAAAGAATTACCTCTTAAGGGTATCGTTGTCTGTCACAGTTTACGTCTTGTAGACGCTCGCCATCTGCTTGTTGAGTTGTCATAAAATTAAATACAACCACTTAAATTGTCTACCTCTTTCTTAATTCTTAATTATTTACATTGACTACGTTATGTCGTCTTCAAAATTCTGAGTAATTGGTTAATTGATCTCAATTTGAGGGTAAAAACAGTCATGGGACAAGTGGGGGTTGATGCTTGAAGGCTACACTCTTTTTTTATTATTTAACTCTTTTTGAATATCTGAAAGGGCAAAAGTAGGTGCAAAAAAAAGTATGTAATTTAGAAAAAAGTTAGTTGTAGTTTGTAATAGTTATGTATACACGTATATGTAGCAAAGAAGGATAACGTAGGGACTTATTTGGGTTGCAACGCCCTTGGCGATGCAATTAAGTATAAATATATCCCTTGTAGACGCCACTTCGACCCCTTTGTCCGCATAAATTGCTTACTTAGTTGGCTGCCCTAATCCTCCAAGTAGTTTGCATATTTTACAAGATTTGGACCAACGTTTTTCATATGAAGTCGTACGACAAATTATTTCCTGTTAATACTTACGAAACCCCAACGTATTACAAAAATAGGCTTCATACGAGATAAATCGAAACAATAACGTTTTTTTTTGTTCCCATTTCTTCCCCTGGTACAAAAGTATGTGGATAATCAAGCCTTCAAATTTTATTATCGTGTTAAAATCTTTTAAATATGTACAAATATGAAAAAAAAATTGCTTTATACTATTTAACTGCCCCTTCTATTACAATACTTCTGAATCAAATAGTACTGAATTAATACGAGGATTAATATGCTTTATTTTTTAGCAAGTGTTAATTTTAATTTAATGTTCACGATAAACAAAAATTAGTGTCTTCTTTTTCTTTATCTTACTTTTTGTCCACTTATTAAATATTCGTATTTATAGATTTATTATTGATGGCATTTGGTATTTCTACTTCTATATCTCATCTCACGGTGTAAACAATTCGTGTTCTGTCGGGTGTCGGTTGTCTTGACAACGACTTATTGCTCGTTTTTCATATTGCACAACAACTTAATATGTTCATGCGCAATTGTTTGAGTGTCTTCTGTCTTGGCGTGTTGTAGAAGCATGGGAGTCGGTATCATTGATCCATCGATTTACTGCTACGTAATTATTCTATCGCGGTCGTGAATTGTATTTGTGGTACGGTGATTTAATCTTTATCTTAACAAACGTAAGACATTAGTGTATTGTGTGTATAATAGTGGAATATGCTTTCATATCCTGAGGTAAACGACATATATTGTTTGATTATTTGGTTTAACAACCTAGAATTAAGATGCCATATTTTAAATTAAATTACATTTGAACTATTATAAGGGTAAGCAGCAAACAACAAATCAAACAGATAAAAATTGTACATCCTAATCTACTTCTGAAACAGCTAAAACTGAATACATAAGAAACTAAGAATCGATTGAATCTATTTGAGAAATTTATAATATTCTAATCGAAAATTAATATTCAATGTCCACCATTTGTGTTTTGATGTAACAACTCTTAATTGTTTACCGACTTTACCCCTTAGAATCCTCTTGTTATACATTCGAAAGCTGGCAACAATTAAATTTGTTTTCATTTGTTTAATTAAACTGACATTTGAAAATTACATTCCATTGTCCTATACTAGGGCAAATCATACTTTAAGCTGGTTTTATTGTGTATATGTTACAGCGATAGTAATAAATTCGGATATTATAAATACTGTCCAGCCATAATGTATAATATCTACTCAATTTTGACAAAGTAATAATTGATACAGAATTAATTACATCAACTAGGTATTTTATATATACATATTAGAAGATTTGGATAATAAAGTAATAAACAAGTGTAGGCGAAGATTATAAATTTTTATTTTAAGATAATAGTTAATGTGATTAATTCTGCATCAATTATCACTTTGTCAAAATTGAATAGATATTATAGGTATATAATGACTGGATAATATATATAATATCCGAATTTATTACTTTCCTGTGACATATATATTATTCGATTTCTTCTCGGAATGTGAATCGATTAATTAAATTAATCCTTTTATTTGATAAACAATATCTTAATAGTGGTCTCATTTCAATTTAAAGAAGAAGATACAGTATTTCACCCATAAGGCAGTAAAATTAATTTAAATTCGTACATATACTACAGTAGTTGGTTTAAATTGTATTTTCTGTTTCTAATCGTCTAAAACATCAAGCAAGGTCTGACTTAAAGAAGCCGTGTCACCTTTGCGTGTGACCGACAGGTGACGCGCCCATTTTTATGAAGTCTCAGAAGACTCCCTGACAGGACCGGCACCAGCAAAAGATTCATCACTCATTTAATGTCCCCCGTCTGAACTTTCGTTTCACTAATTTGCTATCTTTTTTATTATCAACCTATTTTACGTAGTTTATTACGCTTGGGAACCGTTTGATCCTTTACGCTTTTCGGAAAACAAATACAGATAGCATGAAAAAATGAAATTAAGATGTGTACACGTGATGACGTCCTATAGGTACTCGGTTTATTGGACAAGGGAGTCAATTTTGAATGCTTTAATAGAGTATCATATTCTAGTGCCTAATTACAGAGTAACAATTTAAGACTTTTTTGTATAGATATCTAACATTGTAATCATGAAACAAATTGAAAGTGATGAATAAAACCAATGTTCAATTGAGTAAAAGAGAAAGAAGAATGACTCCTTTAGAATCTCAGAACCAGAGGTCTGCCAAAAAATTCAGCACGTAGCATTACCTAGGACTATTCCGTTCTCAAACAGTTTTCTTTTTTTTTATGGCCTTGAAGTAAACTTTTAAGGTCGTGTCACGTAAGTTTTTTTATCAAAAATGAGAGAAGTTGGATAATGTGAGAATGTTGTAAATCGTATTAAGTACGTCACTCGACAAAATTATGTTCGATTCAATGAATTAAATATTTTAGATACTTGGTATATTCAAGTTCTCTTTATTTATGATATATATTATTATTATTATTGGCAAGAAGGAGTTAGAGATACTGACAAAACAGTACTGTATGAAAATAAATAAAATTAAAACAAAAGTACTGGTATGCAAAGGAAGAAGAAGTAGGGAAAGAGCGAATATAAGGATAGGAGACGAAACGTTCGAAGAAGCGGCTGATTGTAGGTATCTAGGAAGTCAGATAAGTTAGGATGGATATAAAGCAGAGGGTAGCGCAGGGTCGAATAGCCTTCAATAAAAAGAAGTCACTTCTATACTCGGGAACGGTTAATTTAGAAATTCGAAAAAGGTTGTTAAAGGTGTATGTTTGGAGCGCGGCGTTGTACGGGTGCGAAACATGGACAGTGGGCGCGGCGGAAAAGAAAAGGTTAGTAGCATTCGAAATGTGGCTTTACAGGCGAATGATGATGAAACCGTTGATAGAGAAGGTAAAAAATAAAGAGATATTAGCAATAATAGGATAACAGAGGATTCTATGAAAGTCAGTAAGAAATATAGGCGAAATAGGTTAGTAGGGCACCTTCTCAGGCATGAAGGTCTAGTCAGAGACATATTAGAGGCAGAAACAGGAGTTAAAAGGTGTGGAGGTAGACCTAGATTAAATTACTATTCGCAAATAGTTAAGGATGTGGGATGTTCTAGTTTTAGGGAAATACGAAGATTAGCTTAGGATAGCAAAGAGTGGAGGTGCGTGATCAACCAGTCTTAGGACTAACGACCTTATGATGATTATAATATTTAATTTGGATCCACGTTAAGCTAACTTTTATCAAGGACTTTGTCGGAGTGAAACTTGGATTGTTACTGGCAATAAACAGTTAAAAGTAACAAACCCTCAAAATTTTCCACTGTAGTATTGTAAACTAATGACTTTGTTATTAAAAGATAGAAAAGCATTTTAAACATTTCTTATGTTCATCAAACACGGTGTATGCCACAGTTTAATTTCGGCAAAATTCGCAGTTTTAAAAATATCAACGTTAGTTCTGTCCTTTTTAGGTTCCTGGTCTTCGAAAACAGCGGTTTTTCAAAACGAGTCAAAGAATAAAATATTCTTAGAATAACCCGAGAAATAACTGCGTGTTTAATAAACATCCTGTATTTGAGTTTTGTTATTTATATTTTAGATGCAGACAAGGATCCATCTCAATCTGCACTATACGAATGCATATAGTAATGTAGAATTTTGGTGCAGAAGTAGAACCTTATAACAGTGAGTGAGAGATTGTGGTGGAGGGGGGGTGAATAGTTCATTGAGTGTCTGATCTTTGAAAGCTAACTATAGCGTTATTATACAAGTAAAATATGCTTCAAATTCTAAGGGTTATTTATTTATTGAAATGAGAATTAATTAAAAAACGCGGAAAAATCCGATTGCGCGATGTGCTCATCATACGCTCCCAAATTCCAAAAATATTTCAGGTACGTGCATGTAGTAGGTACGTTTTTTGCGAAATTGAAAATGCCGAAAATCAATGAAGTCCGTAACAGATACCTAGCTTTATTTAGCTGGCTGGTAACGCGAAATGAAAGCAAATACCGTGTAATTAAAAGATAAACTCGCCGAATGTACACGACACTAGCACACCTTCGTGTCATTAATACCTTATACTTTCATACAACGAGACCAATTTGCAGAAAAACGTGTCTACAGTCGATATCATAATAAATGTCCGTGTAATACGTTAAATCTTCGCCAAAGCGTAATTTAAGATTAAATTTAGTTATGAGCAAAATTACTCTTGGTCTTGCGAGAATCTAAAAGTACCCTTATACTAGGAAGATTAACACCAAGACTGTCTTTATACTAACAAGACAAAAACGAAGACCGAATGTGCAAAAACAAGAGAAAATACGCATGACTAAACGAAAAATTATTACTTTCTATTGTTTTTTTCGCTAAAAGATCAGTTTAGGCGTTGGAGGAGGGGTAATTTTTCCAGTTTTGACTAATATTTTCTTTAAAAGTTTTGACAAGCTTGCATACATGAAAAAATTTTTATTATTTAAGGCAGTTATTGTGTCAGTAAATAGAGAAATTTGTGGCTAGAATAATTATTTTAAAGAAACGTAAGTACAGTCGACTCTCGATAATTCTAAACTCGAGGGACTCTTAAGATATTACGGATTATCGAGTGTTTGAAATATCAAGTGGTTCGAAATTTAATCTTTCGAACTTTTAATCTGTATACAACGAAAGAGTAACAATAACTGAAACATAACTAAACAACCCAATTCGTGCGGAAGTGTGTGTCAAACTAATCATACCAAAAACAAAGGCTCGATGATACGATGATAGAAGCTTGAACTTGCCTCAAAATGTATGTACCTACTTACAATCTTTCTGTCTCTTTCTCTCTGCAACTTCGAATTGTCGAGTGTTTGGCGCCGATGAGTTCGAATTAGCGCGTCGTTTTGTTACGTATTAGCAATGATTTTTTCGTCCGAATTACCAAGTGTATAAAAATGTATTGATTTAGTTCGAAATATAAAGAGATTCTGTAGGGAACTCGTGATAACTTTGAATTATAGAAAGGTTCGAATTATCGCAGGTTTGAATTAACGAGAGTCGACTGTATCAAATTAATAGAGCAAGGTCAAAAATTAACACGCAATGCCAAGATCAAGACTAGTTGTGTTCTGAGTAAGTGCGAAATAATTGTTGTTGAAATAATGGGAAGGCTCGATTATTTCTGTAATCGTCTGTACACATTGTCTTGTATACTTTTCGAATAAAACGAAGAAATTCAGCAGGAAGGTGGGACATGAGTGAGTCGTGGGTAGGTATCGCAGGCCAAAGTTGCATTAACTATTAACTCATCTGATAAGACGTGGAGCTTATACCAGCCATTGTTATTGACATATGTGAAATAGAATTCTTGTCCAAACTGTCTCCTAATGATATTCTGAGGCGATACTATCTTTCGCTGAATTAAACATTAAGACCGGGCTTATCGAATGCATGTAATGCCGCACTTTTTGTTCGAGAATATTAAAAATGAGTCAATAAAATATTTACCGGCTCCGTGGGTGCCCCGTATACACGCAGGACTTCACTTACGTCTGATTTTGTCCGTGATACCGTCGTCAATGAAACATATCTACCATAGGTTTGCTATATATATTTTTGATTTCTTTTCTTTTTGTCATTTTTTGTTGTTTTATTATTGAAAAGTGTGCCCATTATCGAGGATCAAAACGATTTTCTTCTAATTCTGCCTCGGAAATTATTATTGATGATTCCTTAAGAAATAAACATTACACGTGTTTCACCTTTACACCAGTGGCGGCTCGTGCCTTCATTTAGGCATTTATTATCCTTAATAGCATACGAGAGTTTGTATTTTATTTGTCGTTCTACTCATCACTATATAGTATAAAACAAAGTCGCTTCCCGCTGTCTGTCCTTATGTATGCTTAGATCTTTAAAACTACGCAACGGATTTTAATGCGGTTTTTGACGTGACAACGTCTTATAATTCGATGGAGCCGGCTGCACGCACGAAAAAACATGACTCATGCGGCGTTACCTCGCTCTGAGGCGTTCCATTTAAGGCTTGAAGTGCAAGCGAGAGCGCGGAACGAGCGACAAAGAGGCACAATCGGCCTCCGCGTTCGGCAGCGTTCGACATCTGTCTCTCTCCCACTTGAGTGAGCGATGCGTCCGCGTGGACAGCTGCTATACAATAATACATTTCCATTTACCTCCTTCTCGATATCCATACAAAATATCTATCAAACAAATAAAATTAAAATTTTTTTTTGAAAAATGAAACCATTCCCCCAGTATTTTCTTATGACGTTGTCACGTTCAACTATTGTCAGTAAACCGACTTTACAGACAACCGATTTTTTTTAATAGATAGAGCAATTCAAAAGGAAGGTTTATATGTATAATACATGCATAATATAGTAGAGAAACACTGATAATTTGATGTCGTAAATAAACACATTTTTTTGCGCTTACATTACAAACGCTCTAAACCCTACGAGATAGATCAAAATAATGTACCACAGTAATGTACATCTTAAAAAGGTCTACAAAAAAGTCCGCGATGGTATATGTCTATCTCTTAGAGATAACCCACAATAACCATTTTTTATCCTTTACTTTTTATGAGAAATAATAGCTTATTTACGAAGCGATTTTAAGCAATACAGCATTAATCCTTACCCAATTAAGTAGTTTTAAATGCATTGTGCATTTAATATAGATCAATATGGCTCTTTACAGCATGTAATTTAAATGAATATTTTCGAAGATATTACAGATTTAAAATGCAGGGACATGCGGTTGCGACGGTACCGGCCGGGGAGGGCGGTTTGTATTATCTAATGACAAAAAAGCTGTAAATGTTGTATATAAACACATTCAGTAGTATATTAAGTATCAGCATTGAACCCTTGCGGGTCACTAGTTATCCATATAGTAGTAAGACATTTTTGTTTGATTACAGGACCTACCTACCTTGTGGCAAAAAGTCTGAGCAGTCTTGTGGTAAGTACTTTTTTACTTTTACGACTTATTGCGTTCTTTTTGAGTTTTAATGCCTCTCTAAGGTATTACTTTTCGCCAATATTGCCTTTGAACAATGCAATCCCTGACTACAGCAAAACTAATCGATGTAAGAAACGACGCGACGTCCTGTACACTCGAACATCCATCGGGGACAGCTATGTGTATACAATGTACGTATATATCTTTGCATACGTTAGTAGTCGTCCTGGCGGAAGTGAAGCAAGCAAAGCTTCAACTTTGTCAACAGGACCATTTCTGCGACGCAGTTAATAACGTGGTATTACCGCTTAGGTCGCTTCGATTCTCCAATAGGAATTCCTCGTCACAAATGTGCGGGGTAAACCATTCGTTTAAGGGATGATTTAGGATCGAAAAGGTTTTATAGAAATCTTGAAATTTTAAATTAATAGACGTTTAATAGATGTCGATAGACATGAAACCTGGTAATAGTTTATAGCTTTGCTTTATTAATTTGTCCATATTCTGCAAGATAAGAGAAAGCTCAAATGGCTGGAAGAAATCAGCGATCTCATGGTACACCTTCAATGAAACTGATTTGTGATTTTTTACGTGATCGACATGGCGACAATCATGGGCGTACCCAGGGGGGGGCAGCTGCCCCTCCCCCCCTATAAATCTCGCAGAAAATGTATGAACTCGCCTGATCACTAATCAAAGTGTAAACGGGGCCTTGTATGCTCACGTTCGAATTAAATAGTAGAAATCGAATTAAACAATTAAAATAAAATAAAAATGCATAGTCAAATTTACTTTTATTTATTTAAGGATTTTTGGAAGGTACAATCGGAGACAAGAGCACATAAAATTAGAAATTCGTGATTAATTAGGTTTTGCAGCATATCATGAGGTAAATAAATACTATCTATACTAAAAAAAAGTACACGGTTTGAGAGAAAATTTGGAATTTGACCAAAAACTTTGAATAAAATAAGAAATAACGAATAATATGGAAAATTTTTAACTGACTTTTGGCAGTGAATATGCCTTGATTTCAACTTCGAAACAAAAAAATATTTAGTTTCAATCTCTATTAATAATGAGCGTAAAACTTTTTAATATGTTTAAATAATAATTAAAACTTTAAAATTGCATTTATTTCAGACAATTATAAATATTATCATTATATTATCAAGTAAAAACGAGATTTTCAGCTAATTTTTCATTTTTTCCTCGATAACCATTTAGTGAATTTGAATAACCTTACGCTAAAGTGATTCTCCAGAGTTCAAGTTACTTATTATAAAAGTTTGAAATTTCTGGTAGCTTTTTTTCTGTTAATAAAAATAAATTTAATCTGTTCGGTTAACGAATCTCCATAAAATGACGTGTAAAATTACAATTTTTTAAAATTTCAATAACTTTTTAACGGTTTAGTGAATCGATTTGTAATTTTTACAGGAGTTTTAGAATTGAATGAGGAACGTTCTTCCAAATTTTTATTTGTTTCATAGCATTTTGACATACCTCCCAAACATCCTCAAGTACCTATAAAGCAGAATCATTTGCCGCTGTTTGCCTGTGTAGTGTGTTTGACAAAACAGCCGCGGACGATCCGACCTAAAAAAACTGACTTGCCCCCTCCCCCAAGGCAGAAGCTGGGTAGGCCCATGGTGACAATTTTGGTTGATGGTTTGCTTAATATGTTTACTTTATTTACTATATAAAAAATGTCAATTGCGTATTTTTGAATTACACTGTACACATAGTTTATGTTTCTAAAATTCATGAACTAATATTTCTAAAGACACAAAAGTGCTAAGGCCTTTACAATATTCAGTTTTGAATTGTAAAAAAGGCCTATTTTATATTACCATTGTTTACAAATTAATTGATTTATTGTCACTCTCATAATGTACGCTGTCTATGACCGATGGACTGTTCACTTTCGCCAGCAGCTAACGCTCTCATTGAATGCATTTGCCTCTCCGTACATACGTAAACGCGTATATGTGAGGGTAATCCTTAGTTCGGTATGGGGTAATGGCACTGGAAGGGTTTTTATTAGCGCGCTGTGTTATCAGCGGGGTATCAATCTAAGGGCTGATTGCTACTAGCAATTAAAACGTTTTGATGTCAGTCGAAAGTAAATGCGCGGTAAATCCAACGGCAAACGGGAAGAGAAGTATCGGCATTGCTCCCTAAATGGTCATTCGAAAATCTTGTGCACATCGTAATTTACCTATACATGTATGCATGTATAAATATTGTTTATTTGAAGTAAATCTGCCAGTACAACGGTTTATCAACAAAAAAAAAGAATCAAACCAATAGTTCAGCAATTGGCACAGATCCACAGCTAATGATGTACAAAAATAGTCCTGGGTTAGAACATTTAGCTAGACCAAGATCAAAACAACAACTAATTATGCTCGCCGAACCAAGATCAATACTATAAATGAGCAAGATTTATTAGCAAGATTCTGGCAAAATTCCCATCTAAATTTTAATAGAATTACAAAATAGGGTGAAATTAAAAAATTTATGAGAGTAAATATGCCTAAATAAATTGTACTATTCATCATCATCGCCGTCATAAGGTCGTCAGTCCTAAAACTGGTTGGACACGCACCTCCACTCTTTCCTATTCTGAGCTAATCTTCACATTTCCCTAAAAGTAGAACATCCCACATCCTTAACTATTAGTGAAAAGTATTCTAATCTAGGTCTACCTCTACTCCTCCTAACTCCTACCAACCGATCTCACCAATTTCTTATTGACTTCCACAGAGTCCTCTGTTCCCCTATTCTTTCTATTACCTCTTCCTTTCTAACCTTCTCTACCCACAGTATCCTCATCATTCAATTGTACTGTTATTAGAAATAAATTCTGCCTTTTTCGTTGCAACAAAATCAAACTAATAGTTTGGAGAATGCCCTGAAATATGCACAAAAAAGTTAAGAGATGCATATTTTTTGTATTAGCAGTATACAAATTGCTCCAAAAATGCTAATTTTTGTGAAGCCGGACATATTTCAAATCTGCCTAGCCTGCTAATCAATTAATTTGGTCTATCAAACCATTTTATGCATTCTGGCCATTAAGACTAGAAGAACATGTACCAAATGAAGACCAAGACCATATTAACCTTGCATTTCGGGGGTTTCCTAAACACGTTGCTCAGACCTAGAACACTTGGATCCTACTGCGGAGCGCATTAGTAAATATCGACTTTTAATAACTTAACACCCGTACGTCAAGAAAAGCTTTGTTTTTCGATTCATTTGGTATTATTTAATGTAAAATATAATTACAAACCAATGCGTTATTAACTTTAAACTATTATATCTATCAGCCTATAAAATTCTATATTTTTACCGGGGTTTTGTTCTATTTGAAAAATTTAATTATAGTTTGAAAAGTTTATATAAGAAGGTACATGTAGCATTACTATCAGCTATATCAATTTGAAACATTTTTGTATGTTTATACAGGCACTATTATGTGAAGAAAATTAACCCCATAGGTATCCAGGTATATGAAGATTTAGTGCAGTGTGCAGGGTTAATTACGTCTGCAATTAGCAAGAAGGCAGTAATAATCAGTTTCCTCTTTCATTACCCTTGCCTTTAATTCCTCTTCAAGCATTTCCTACTTTTATTCTGAAAATGGAACGAACGTCGAAGAAAAAGTGGTAAGATTATAAGCCGGCTACTTATGTTCCAGACGGGGCTGGTTCTCTGCCTGGAGTGGCGGCACGGGGGTAAAGGGATAGGGTTGAATACGGCTCCCGAACAGGAACTGAGCTTTAATTAAAAAGTATTTAAGTAATGTAAAGAGACTTTGAGCGTTTTTTTTTTTGAAGGTATTATTCAATGGTGGCACAGCAGATCAAGAATAGAATGACTAAAAATGCTTTACTCAGCATCTTTTGCTGACTTAATTAATATGAAAATCTACAAATTGCTATCACAAAGATCTACCGTTGTTTTTATAAGCGAGTCTCTGCTACAGCTTCCTTTAGTAAGCTTAAGCTCTTTAGTAAATGCTGTAAATGATATTTGACGAAATTATTTTGCGAAGAAAAGCAAGATAAAATTTTTTCAACTTTAATTCTATACTCGCGACTTGGAAATATCAAAAAAAAATCGGTTGTCTGTAAAGTCGGTTTACTGACGATTGTTGAACGTGACAACGTCATAAGAAAATACTGATGGAATGGTTTCATTTTTCAAAAGAAAATTTTAATTTTATTTGTTTGATAGATATTTTGTATGGATATAGAGAAGGAGGTAAATGGAAATGTATTATTGT